TCCCGTGTTGTGGGGACCCCCTTACAGGTAAGGATGCTGCAGGAGCCACCAGTGGCAAGTGGCCATACTTGGACTAGTATTGATGCATGACGATCCTGTATTTTGATATTATACATGTTGTTTTGTAGCTCACATGTATAGGATTGTAATTAATAGACAATTAATAGATGTATGTTCTGTTTATTTGGAATGGACTTAGCCTATGCTCATGCCTTTGGTTATCTCTTTGTTGATGGGAGCCAATGGAGTGATCATAGCGTTTTGTAAGCTAAGTTCCATGAATTGTAATGAACATGATTTGTAATTGATGAGTACTTTAAGTTTATTATATGTATGCTCATTAAGTATTGGATTGTAGAACTGGAAACTAAATTAGGTACCTAGTGCTAAATTGGGAAATGTTGAGAAAACAAAGACATCCTGTCCGGTTGACCAATTTTCATACCCAATATGATAGAATTGGACTTTGATGTCTCTATAGAAGTTGTAGAAATTTCTCTTAGCTTTCCATAGAGACCAAAATGATGTAATTTGAGTTAGTATAGCTCAAGTTATGAGTGGAAAACCATAGTTAGGTTAAATGACCTTGTTTTGGGTCACCCAGCCCTGTGGATGGCGCCTGGGGCGCCAGATTCACGCTTGGGGCGCCAAATTACAAAACCAGACAGTAGCATCCACGCTAAGGGCGCCACTCCCACGCTGGGGGAGCCAACTTTCTGTTTTCCCACGCTCTGGGCGTGGATCCCACGCTATGGGCGCGGGGTTCTGGAGATTTTGCACCCTTTTTCTTAGAAAATGCATAACTTTGGCTACGGTGCTCCGATTTGAGCGCGGTTTGAACCCACGCGTAACTAATGAAAAATCCTATAACATAGTAGTATATGGGAATCATAAAAGGATTTTAGAATTAATTTGATAATTAAAGAGATGAAGACATTTAACGACGTATTGTCAAGTAGAATGGGAATATAATATTAAGTTTAGTCCCACTATTCCGCGAAGCATATATAGTTATGATCACGCACTTGGTTATTTAAATATGGCTTTTTTAAAAAGGAAAAATTTATCTGGTTTTCTAATTGAACCAATGTGATTGTAACTGCGCTTAATGCCGTACGCAATGATAACAATCCGGTTCTAGAACGGGGTGTTACAACTTTAGTCCATTACATGCATCAAGGATTCATTTTTAGCTAAGGAAACTCAAGTTCATGGGTGGTAAGGCTTACCCAAGCTTAAAACAGAGGTGGATGATGCTCTTGTAGCTCACCAATCAGCCTCCAAGGTGCTGACTTTAAGGAACCACGAAAATGCAACACAAGGTGGGTCCTTTACACTCAAATGTGGCTTCTTGAAGCCTAAGATGCCATGACAATGGCCTCAACCAACCCAAGTCTCAAACTCAGCACAAAAACCCTCACCAAACAGAAGAAAACAACACCTTAAACTCAGAAAAGGGAGCACCTTACACTCTCTCAAGCCATGCACACTCACACAATGAGTTTTATAGAAAGAACCAAGAAGAAATGAGGTCTCTTGGCTCCAAAGGTGAAGGGAGGATGAAGGTGGTAAGGTGGCTGTTCAAACTTCATAAAATCTCACGTAGAGAAACTGAGCATGCCTAGGGTTATGTGCCAAAAGTTGTATATATAGTGTTTTAAGAATTAAACACACAGTATTAGCACTAATTGCTACGCTTAGTATTTTAATCCCAAACTTAGGATTCTGGACCTACTCATTTTTCTAAGATTTATCATATTTTTATTTTATTTTTCGCAGCACCTTTCTGGTACGCGCTTTTCCATAGCCAATATCAGTTCTGGCATCAGTTCTCATTATTTTAACTTGAAACTCGTTTTACAAGTCCTATATATTATTCTAGTGACATATACACACTTTTCATAATTTTTCGGGATACTTCTTCGGTACGCTTTTATACCGAGTAGCAGAACCGCTATCTGCATTTTTCGTCAGAAAAATGACTTTTAACATTATTTCGCACTTACCATAATTATTTAAGCCTCATAATAATTATTAGGGTCAATTATTTCCTAATTTTTCATAATTAATTAATTAACTTCCTTAATTAACGGTGCGAGTTCTTACATTCCCAGATTTCAAAACTAATTTTGCTTTTCGTTTGATCTTCTACTTATAAGCGAGGATGAGACAATGACAATCTTGTGATTATCCAGAGTCGTTCCCTGCACCATTTGATGGAGGTTGCCTCCTAATAGCTTGATTAAACGATAGGCATTGATTTCTCCATATGGGGATAAGGTCGACATGTCCTCTTGTACTGAATATCGAGGGTGATCTTCTGACCTTCAGGCACAACAAGTTGGTTGTATGCTCAGCTCCATGCCACACTATCCTTGGCTGCTTTGTTGTGCTCATTGCAGTGTCCTTTGTCTGCTCTTATTGCGCGCTGCAGTGTGCTTTTTGTCTGCTTTTCAGTAGCGCCAACAAAAGCAAAAGCAACAGTTAGTGGACTTGGAAAAATTAAAGCAAATGACAGCCTGGTGTTATCTTTTTTATTCCTTTTCTTCTCTACTTTATACGCTGGAGGTCGTTCCCTCTAGCAAAACAACATTTCTCGCATTTATATTAATATTTATGCTAAAACTACCTAAAAAGAGGCGAAAACTTTAGATGAACTTAAATATTGTTCAAAAAATAAAATGATAAATTCTAAAAAAAATAGAAATACTTAATTTTTAATACATTTAAAATTAAAAATAATATATTGATATTTTAATATATCAATTTATAAATAACATATATATATATATATTAATTTTTATTTATCAAATATTTATTTATTTAAAATATTTTTTTTCATTTTTTTACAATATATTGGTCTATCAAAAAAAAGATTTTTAAATAGTTTGAACGTGACTACATGAATAATTATTATTATTTTTACAATAAAATAAGGGATATGTTATTCTACCTCCTCTTACTTATCTTATATTTGCCTACCCCTCTCAATACAGTTAGATTATAATTTCACCAAATGATGGAGATTTGCGAGATAAAATAAATCTTTTTTATCCTTTACTATCTCTCACCCTTTCTCCTCCCACCCTTTCTCTCTATTGACGAAGACAGAGACAGAGAAGCACATAAGATCGATTAATCAAAATCCTTTGTGAGTTTGAATTGGTATTTTGTTCACTCTATTTGTTAAGACTCTTGTAAAGTAGTTTTGATGAGCGTGGTTGATGCGCAAGATGCTAATAGTATGGGGATGATTGGAATACCAAATCCCTAGCTTTCCCTCTCTTCAATGGAGCTTTAGCTACTAAAATTGTACCATTGTTAATACGCTTCAATAATAGTATGACTTAGAAAAGGGCCAAATAATTTTTTGTTGGAAACAATTCTTCCATTTTGCTAACAAATAAAGGTTTATTTCGAAAGTTCTAGTAACAAACATAAAACCTTGTTGCGAGTTTTAATTCATCCTCCATCTTTGTCGATAGAGAGAAAGGGTGGGAGACAATTAGGGGAGAGGAAGAGGTAAAAGAGTTTATTTTTCTCACAAATCTCAATCGTTAGATAAGATTATAATCTAACAGTAGTGAGAATGATAGGCAAAGGTTTATTTCGAAAGTTCTAGTAACATAAAACCTTGTTGTGAGTTTTAATTCATTCTCTGTCTTCGTCGATAGAGAGAAAAGGTAGGGAGACAATGAGGGGAGAAGAACAGATAAAAGAGTTTATTTTATCTCACAAATCTCAACCATTAGATAAAATTATAATCTAACAGAATTGAAAATGGTAGGCAAAGGTAGACAAAATAAAGGTAGGTAGAATAATATATTCAATAATTAAAATTATCCAATATCTAATAATTTCATCATTAATTAGTCTTAAAATTTCAAAAGTATAGATAAAATTAACAAAAGTATTACTTGAAGTTCGAATAACATTAAGCGGACAAATATTCCGTATATTAACTTAGATGCCTCCGTCACGTCCATGTCCCAGACTAGGTTGTTTCATTGGGTGCATAAAAGAAACTGCAACCTTCCACTTGTGATCAGCACTCACCTACTCAGCCACTTGATTAATGCATAAAAATAAAAATTGTAACTCTTTCCATTTTTATTAAATATTAACAAAAGAAGATAATATCAACTCTTTCTAAGGTAAGAATAAGAGGGACACTAACTAAAGTGTCACGTTTGGATAAAAAAATTACTAGACTGTCACTTCAATAATAAATTTTGTCAAAATGCCACGCTGCATAATTTGCTATCCAGTGTAGCGAATTACTTGCATGCATAATTCGTTACACTATGTAGCGAATTATGCTGCGTGACATTTTGGCAAAATTTACTGTTGGCGTGGCAGTCTGGTAACTTTTTTGTCCAAACGTGACAAAATGATCACTGTTCCAGAATAAGAAGTTTACATTCAATTTTAATAATTAATCCACTCATATCTAATGGTTCATTTATTAAATAAATTAAAATTATTAAACATAAATAGAATAATGATCATTAGATTGATATAATTAATATAAATAATGATAAATGCTTGCTTTTTGACTTTGCATATGTGATCATTTATAAAATCTTGAGTAAAGTCTTTTTTAATTCCTCACAAAAAACGGTCTTTAATTTAGTCTCTTACAAAAAAAAGAAAAAGAAATAGTTGTTTGGTTCTTGTGAAATTCAAAGTGAATTCATTTTAATCTTTTTGAGGGATTAATGTGGATCTTTTTTAAATTTGTGAGGAGTCACAATTTTAACTAAATGAGTCCACTTTGAATTTCTCAAGACCTTGAAACTAATTTTTTTTTTTTGTAAGAAATTAAAGTTGAGATCTTATTTTTTATCAGGGACTCAAAATAAACTTTACTCTAAAATGTTTAGTAAAATTCACTAATCCTTTGTACTAAAAAAAAAATCACTAATCCTACAAGTTTTTAGTAAAAAAAAAAAAAAAAGGTCATTGAGAAGCAGGTTGAAGAGAGAGAGAGAGAGAGAGAAATGGCTTGCAGTCAGTTGTGGGCTTCAAGAGCTGCGTCATACCTCAGGATCTCTGTCTTTCACAGAGGCTTTTCTAATGGTAATCTTTTAATTTCTCTCTATTATACCCTTGCTCATATGTTTTCTTTCGGTGATCACTTACATTATTGTCTTGTTGTCATGTCATGTCATAATGTTGATGGAATAACTGTGGATCTTGAATATACATAACCTTTCATTTATCATTCAATGTTTCATTTTTAATTTCGGGTCTCATATTTTGGATGGAAAATAGTTCTTGTAATTCTGATGTATAATATTAAAGAAACATAGTACTCACTCACATTTAATATTAAGAATAAGGTATTTTTTTTTTTTTTGACAAATCTACCTTCCCTTTCTGTGCTATTATATACAGTTTTGAAAGACCTGATGTATTTGGATTCTCATGAGTGGGTGAAGGTTGGTGAAAATTCTGCAACTGTTGGTATAACTGATCATTTGGGTGATGCTGTATACGTTGAATTGCCAGAAGTGGGAGCAACTGTAAGACAAGGAGGTAATTTTGGTGCAGTTGAAAGTGTGAAGGCAACTAGTGATATTAACTCTGTCTCGGGGAAGATTTTTGGGATATTCAAGTGTGATGGAATCCCACAATCAGTGTTGTGTTTATTTCCTGTCATTTTTTATCAACATGAACACAATGTGAATGTAAATGCAGATCAACCCGACTCAAAAATCGTGTGTCGTGTCAGTACGTAGTGTATTGAGTTGTCACCGCTAGTACTCTGAATTTGGGATCATTAGCCTAACATAATTTGTGTTTTTATGTTGTCCTGCTTTTCTTCTTTTATAGGTCAACTCAACCGCTTATGAAGATGGATGGATAATTAAAGTCGAAATGAGTAACAGTGGTGAACTTAATAACTTGATGGATTCAGATCAGTACTCCAACTTTTGTGAAGAAGATTCCAAGCACTGATAGTAGTGTTGCCAATCATGTGTCTTGACTACTTTTTTTTGCATTTCTCATGAGCTTCAATTTCAGTGGGGTAATAATTTTCTCTCTTTGCCTTGGAAATATAAAATTGACAATGTGAGAAATTTGACAGCAACAAAATCATAGGCTTTTTGAAGTAGTGCCAAATTGTTAGATTAGATTTGGTTTGGGAAAACAAGCTTTTATATCATGATCAGACAGCAGTTATCATGAGTTTCCTGAATTTAAGATTTACAATGACAAAGTTTTCATATTCTTTACATGATAAATGTCAGTTGCGTATGACATATTAAATCATTGATAGTTTAGAATGTTTCTTTTCTTTCCCTCAAGCCGGTTAGCTTGTGGAATAGTTGTTTATTGTCCCTTTAAAAATTAGGGATAAAAAATTCAGTAAATATATTTTATTTAAGAAAAAAATTGTAAGTTATACTCCTTGCACATTTTTAGGCATACATCACATCTATCCGATCAAAACTTTTACATATATATAGATGTGAGGCAATAGATGATGTATATTAATTATTTTGTTGAGATACTTATCACTAATCGTTTATATGAAAAATGTTGTTCCACATTAATCCTCTCTTTGCTCTCCCTTGCCAGAACAACATCAATTGATTCAAAAACAGCCAAGTAATAGTTCATTGTCTCAACAAAACGCTGCAAGAATGGAGCATTATTGGTGTTGAACTCTTGCTCAACCAGAGTCACGACCTTAGGAGACAAATCTTTAATTCTTTTGTCCTTGTAATTTTCAAAGTAATTGCCAGAGCAACAATTTCATGCCATCTTTACCATAAATTATTTGTTGTCCTACACCGCAACCAATGATTTGCTGAAGGGGAACAATTTTTCATTTATATCTATGAAAGTGGCTAGACCCTGCATTTAGAAATGCAACCCATAAAATGCAACTCTGGCCTGCAGATTTAGTTACAACTATCCAAGTTCAAAAACCATACTAATTTTTTGAATTACAAAGGATTGAACCTAAGACTTATTCTTAACCCCGCATTGCCTTAGCACTTTGATCTAAGGCCATGAATAACACGCAGGATAATACTTATTCATATGCTACAAGAGCTTTATCTGCATTCTGGAACTTAACTGCAAACGCTCCTCCATAGAGAGATAAACGATTTTTTCCATCACTATCAGTATATATCCCAACATCTTCACAAGTTGAGGAGTTTGTAGCACTACAAAAAACAAACTTGTAACCTAAGTCATACTCCTTAATTTGGAAACTTCCCATCTTAATTTGATGACTCAGGTAACCTTCAGCACTGTTAATGGCTACATACCACACTTTGGCTAATTCATCCATGACAATCATCCAAGTGGATGAATTATTAGTGAACTTGATACTTACATTCTCATCTGTAAGAATGATCATTGTTCCAAGAGAGTTTGAAATTGATACTGACAAGCCAAGACAGTTCTTTGAGGCAGATTGAACAACAGCAAGTGGTTGTTTCACCCCAATGCTAGCATATGTAACTCCACCACCCTCTCCATTGAAACATGGCAAGATGTAGTAGTCACCACCATTTTCTACCCATTTACCATCTGTGTCAAGCACACTAGCAATGGAAAACTTCAGTTTTATGGTAAAGGCAAGGAGAAGGAACAAGAGGGGAAGCAAGGTAGTTGTTATGGTCATTGTTCTGTGCTTTTGTTTCAGAGGATGGGAAAGTAGTGAGCTTTAGTAGCATACATTTATACATGGTTGAGTACAGGTACTATACATGGAAAACACGAGGAAATTTATGGAAAACGTGGAAAGAGATTATGAATGTTAACATCACTTAGTAGTTATTGATAGAGACCAGTACAATCGCGCGATAAACGGGTACAATATTTTATTTAACATAAGATTTTATATTAGCAGCACGAGAAAATAACAGGACTTACAGTAGTACATATTTCACAATGGAGTATTCTAATGTTTTGATATTACAATTAAAAAATCACCACTAATACCATCCTCCTTATTCCATAAAGGTAGCTGGAATTATGAGCCTATATGCTTATACTATCAATCCCCGATTGAGAAAAGTCTAACATATACATGTAAATAAAGACAAAATAGCATGGATACGAGTAAAGGTAGCTAGCAACAATCTTATAACAAAAGTATGCTTTCATTTTCTGTACTAAAACATGCTAATTTTGTTACTGACTTCAGTGAGGGAGTATATTGCTTGTATTTTATATTTCCTTCCCCACTGTGGACATCCCTGCCTATGAAGATTTATATTTTGGCATAATGCCATTCATGGCAATTGAAGCACTGTTTGAATTTCTCCATAGGTTCATCAATAATCCGATTAATTCAGTTTAAGTCGGGCAAGGCCACATTGGCAAAACTCTCCTTACTAATTGAGTTGCATATCCATGACTAGAACTCGAGATTACTGGTTAAACTGGAATAATCCAATTGATCCATGTGCATGGTAGCTTGACAATTAAAGCATTGAATATTATATTTATCATATATTTTTCCTCCTCCTAATCTAAATTCATAGCCTCTTGTTCTTGGTGGTTGTTCACTTCAATCTTCATTATTATAGTTATGGCCACTTCATATTCATATTCCACCAAAACCTTTGTTGGAAATATTTCCTATATTATTTGTAAATATTTGTTTCCTTATTTCATTATAATTTGGGTCAAGTCTGAGCTAAGCCTATTAGGATTTCTATATATTTTACACTCGTGTATCAATTCAATATATGGATTTATTCAATGTTCATTTCGTCTCTTATTCTTCTACATGGTATCAGAGCCTAACGAGAGGAATCTTGATCCATTTTTTTTCTTCGGTGAACCCATACTTCAAGCACCTCAAAATCTTTCTTTGGGATCTGGACTGAAAGGTTGCGGCTACACTATCTTCAAACTCAGATCCTGGAAAATCATTCCGTCGAATTGCGAAAGTGATTTAAAATATGAGTTTCTCTCGATGAGATCTTCGAATAGACACCTTACTCGCTCAAATACAACAATCTTGCAGTATTAGCTCGTGTTTTTGATTTGAGCGAGTAAGGTATCTACTCGAAGATCTCATCGAGAGGAACTCATATTTTAAATCACTTTAGCAATTCAAAGGAAGGATTTTCCAGCATCTGAGTTTGAAGATATTGCAACTGCAAGCTTTCAGTCCAGCTCCCAGAAACTTTAGCCAGTTTTAGGAAGTGAAACCTATTGGGCTTTGTTCTACTCGTCGATACGATCGTTTTGAGTGGTCACTAGACTTAAACAGAGATGGGATGAAGGAGATATGGCGATTTGAAGTTCCTGATACATTTTCCTGCGAATTTTAATAACCAGGAAATATTTTGGTGAGTTTTGGGCAGTAGGGGTAGTCCATCTTAGGGTTTTTGGGCATTCCTGGTCTGTTATGGAAAATTCCAACTCTAAAGAGTGGTTTGACAAAATTTAGTGTCTTTGAAGTCTGTTAGTGGTGACGCACAAATCCCCTCCTTCCGATTAGTTTTGTGATCTGACATCTCTGATTTTCTTTAGGTGATTATGGATTCTCCTATCTCTTCTATTTCTGAGTCTCCGACTGCTCGAGGATGTAAACCCTCTGTAATTTGATAGCATAGCTGACGTGTCATTAGTTAGTTACGTGTCATTAGATGTATTAAATGCATGTTAACCAAGTTAGTTATTCTGTTTTATCACTTGTATATAAATACCCTGTATGTTGTTAATTACAGTTCAGTTTTTCATAATCAATCTTTATATGTTGTTCTTCTTCTCTGTTCTCTATCTGAAATGGGTTTCATCTTCTACCTTCATCTTCTTCCTTATTGCTTTCATGGTATCAGAGCCTGAAGCTCTGGTATCCATCATCTTCCGCTAGTTCTAACAAAAGCTTTTCCATGGATGAACCACACTTCACCATGGAGAATCCAAACCAAACAGAAAACCAAGACCCAAACCAAAATCCAAACCAAAACCTCAATCAAGTACATAATCCAAAGAAAGATCAGATCCAATTTTCTGATTTCCTAAATAATCCACGAAATCCTCTTTACCTACATCCTAATGAAAATCCATCCACCATACTGGTTTCACCACTGTTGCATGGCTCCAATTATCACTCCTGGTCACGAGCTATGAGGATGGCTCTAAGTTCAAAGAACAAACTATGCTTCGTAGATGGTTCCATGAAGATACCTTCGAGATCTGATGAGAACTACTCAGATTGGGAGCGATGCAATAACACTGTTCTAGGCTGGATCCAAAGATCAATTGATGCTTCCATTGCACAATCGATTTTATGGATTGACTATGCTAAAGATGCTTGGAATGATCTTAAGGATAGGTTCTCCCAGGCTGACATATTCCGGATTTCAGATTTGCAAGATGATATTTGCAAACTGGAACAAGGAGACAGATCAGTGGCTCAGTATTTCACTGAATTGAAGATTCTATGGGATGAAGTTGATAATCTGATTCCTCTTCCAAGATGCACATGTCAGGTACAGTGTTCTTGTGGTGGTTATAACATAATGCGAAAAATCAGAGATAGAGACTGTGTGATTAGATTTCTTAAGGGGCTGAATGATCAATATGAACATATTAGTTCCAAAATTATGTTAGTTGATCCACTTCCTGTTGTGAACAAAGCCTTTTCCATGATAATCCAACAAGAAAGAAAGTTAAGTGGAACTGCTCCAAATCATGCTGCAGACACTACTCGAGCTTTCACTTATGCATCTGCATCCAAGAATGCTACAAACACAGAAAAAGGAAAGGCTACCTTCAATAAAGGAAGTAACAATGCAAGAGGAAAAGGACAACAATACTGTACTCATTGTAAAATGACAAATCACACAATTGAGAGCTGCTACTTCAAGCATGGATTTCCTCCTGGTTATAAGTCAAGAAGGAGTGTAAATCAGATAGCTACTTCTGGAAATGGTTCTTAAACAGAACAAAGTGCAATTTTCACTGCTGAACAGCACCAACAACTACTCAAATTGTTGCATTCTAACACAAGAGCAGATAACCATTCGACTAACTTGGTGCAAGCCTCTGCTATGACAGCAGAAAGACCATACTCAGCAGGTAAACCACTTCATGAATGGATTTTGGATACAGGTGCCACGGATCACATCTGCTTCCAACAATCCAGTTTTACTTCCTTGCACAAAATAGCCCCCATATCCATTAATCTACCAAATGGACACCAAATTATTTCCAAGTTCAGTGGAGTTGTTGATATAACTGATACATTAAGCTTGAAAGATGTCTTATATGTTCCTGATTTCAAGGTTAATTTGATTTCAGTTCCAAAACTCCTCAAAACTACACCTTATTTCCTTACTTTTTCTGACTCAAACTGTGTTATTGTACAGAACCATACCAAGGAAATGATTGGTTCAGCTGAACTCACAAGAGGACTCTATGTGCTAATCATCCCAAAGACCAAATCACGACAACCTTTTCTAGGATCACAGATTCATAGTTTTCCTTTACATTGTAATTTTTCTGATTCGGATGTTACCTTAAATAGTGATCATGTGCTTTGGCACTATAGACTTGGACATGTATCACATACCATTTTAAAGACTTTGTCATCTCAATATACTTTCATTCCAAATAAACATGTTGTTCCCTGTGATGTCTGTCAATTTTCTAAGCAACAAAGATTGCCATTTCCAGTAAGTACATCTAAGTCCACAAAATTTTTCGAATTGTTGCATGCTGATATTTGGGGGCCATATGCCACAAGATCCATACATGGTCATAGATACTTCCTTACCCTTGTTGATGACTTCACAAGATACACTTGGGTCATTATCATGAAATGCAAATCAGAAACTTCCCATCATCTAGAAGGATTCATTTCCTACATGGAAAATCAATTCCAAGTTTCCTTAAAAACCCTCAGAACTGATAATGGTTCTGAATTCAATATGCATTTCTTTTTTCATAAAAAAGGAATTCTTCATCAAAGGTCTTGTGTAGAGACACCCCAACAAAATGGGATTGTAGAACGAAAACATAAACACATTTTAAATGTGGCCAGATCTCTTGTCTTTCAAGCAAACATCCCCCCAAAATTATGGTGCTATACTATATCCCATTCTGTCCATATCATTAATCGGGTTCCTACACCATTACTTGACAATGTTTCACCATTTGAAAAACTCTTTAAGAAAGCACCTGATTTGCATGACTTGAGAATATTTGGATGCCTTTAATATGCTTTTACATTACTTTCTCACAGATCCAAATTTTCCAAAAGGGCAAGAAAGTGTATTTTCCTTGGCTATAAACCAGGCATGAAAGGTTACATTTTATATGACTTCATTGCAGGTTCTGTTTTTATTTCTAGACATGTTCAATTCTTTGAACATTATTTGCCTTTCCTTCACACTTCTTCACCCAACACCAATATAGTTCATCCTTGTCCACCTCCACCCTTGAGTGACTTTGATCATAGCTTTCACCCACTACAGCAGAACCAAACTATACACACAAATCCAACTCAAATAACAGATCTAATACAGCAACATCAAAACCATTCTCCAATACCAGACCTGCATTCATCTCATCTCCCTCAATCTGATGATGATACCACACTACATGACCCTTCTCCATGCACCAACACACAACCCTTAGCTGACCCTAATCCTCCTCCTCGTAAGTCCTCTAGATTCAAACAACCTCCTAAATATTTGGATGATTATCATTGGAGTCTCTCTACTGCTACAGCTGATTCATCATCTCCAGGTACATCATCTGTCCTTTATCCATTATCCACAGTTTACACCTTTGATAATTGTTCCTCACAACATACACATTACTGCCTTACTTTGAGTTCCTTGATTGAACCCACATCCTATAAACAAGCTTCACAACAGCAGTGTTGGATTGATGCTATGCACACAGAACTTGCTGCCTTGGAACTTAACCACACCTGGTCTTTAATTGATATACCTGCTGATGTTAAACCCATTGGATGTAAATGGGTATACAAAATAAAAATGAAGGCTGATGGCTCCATAGAGAGGTACAAGGCACGGTTGGTTGCTAAAGGATACAACCAAATGGAAGGTATTGATTATTTTGATACCTTCTCACCGGTTGCCAAGATGACAACAGTCAGGGTTCTTCTCTCCATTGCTGCAGCTCGAGATTGGGATCTTATCCAGCTTGATGTCAACAATGCATTCCTTCATGGTGAGTTACATGAAGATGTATACATGCTTCCACCCCCAGGATTAGGTACTGCTTCTTCTGGCAAGGTTTGCAAACTACACAAGTCTCTATATGGCCTAAAACAAGCTAGCAGACAGTGGTATGCACGTTTGTCAAGCTTTCTGGTTTCTCTTGGTTATAAACAATCCACTGCAGATTATTCTTTGTTTGTTCGAAATCATGATTCAACATTTACAGCACTCTTAGTCTATGTTGATGACATAGTCATCACAGGCACCAGTTCTCACGAGATTCAAAAGGTTAAGTGCTTGCTTGCTGCTGAATTCCAACTCAAAGACTTGGGTTCTTTAAAAAAAATTTTGGGACTTGAAGTCAGTCGCTCCAATACAGGTTTAGTTCTTAACCAAAGAAAATATACTTTGGATCTCTTACAAGACAGTGGCCTCTTGGCTTGTAAACCAGTGAGTACCCCCATGGATCATTCTTTCACATTACAAAGAATACAAGGCGAACCATATTCTGATCCTGCTTCTTATCGTCGTCTCATTGGTCGATTATTATATCTTACAAACACACGCCCAGACATCACATTGGCTGTCCAGCAACTTTCTCAATATGTTGCTAATCCCATGACACTACATTTCCAGGCATCTACTAGAATTTTGAAGTACCTCAAATGCTCTCCTGCAAAGGGATTATTTTTCCCACGATCAAACAGCCTTCATTTATCTGGATTTGCAGATGCTGATTGGGGGTCTTGCCTTGATACTCGACGTTCAATCACTGGTCAGTGTCTTTTTCTTGGTTCTGCTCTCATTTCATGGCGTGCCAAGAAGCAACACACTATCTCAAGATCCTCCACTGAGGCTGAATATAGAGCTTTGGATTCCATCACTTGTGAAATCCAATGGCTCACATTTCTCCTTGCTGATCTTCAAGTAGATACCTCAGTTCCTGCTTCTCTCTATTGTGACAACAAGTCTGCAATATACCTGGCTAACAACCCAGCCTTTCATGAAAGATCCAAACACATTGAGCTTGATTGTCACATCATTAGGGAGAAGCTACTTGATGGTCTCCTAAAGCTGCTTCCTGTTTCTACAAAGGATCAACTTGCTGATCTCTTCACAAAACCCTTGCATCCAGGGCCCTTTCGATCTATTGTCTCCAAGCTTGGTCTTTTGGACATCCACAGTCCAGCTTGCGGGAGGGTGTAATCTGATAGCATAGCTGACGTGTCATTAGTTAGTTACGTGTCATTAGATGTATTAAATGCATGTTAACCAAGTTAGTTATTCTGTTTTATCACTTGTATATAAATACCCTGTATGTTGTTAATTACAGTTCAGTTTTTCATAATCAATCTTTATATGTTGTTCTTCTTCTCTGTTCTCTATCTGAAATGGGTTTCATCTTCTACCTTCATCTTCTTCTTTATTGCTTTCACCCTCTAAGGGTCGATTACTTTGCACTCATTGTCATCGGACCAATCATATTGTTGATCATTATTGGAAGCTTCGTGGCAAGCCACCTCAGCCTCCTCGGACTGCACCAAAACCTCCTGCCTCTCTTAATGAATTTATGACTTGGTGGTCTAAGAAACAAGCATCTGGTTCTACTACCTCCATTGCTCCATCTGGTAATTCTTATGCTGGGATCTCTCAGTTACAATCTCTGGGCCCTTGGACTCTTGATCTGGGGCTTCTAACCACATTTATAGTAATAAGTCTCTACTCACCTCTCTTTGTACTAATGGTTCATTTCCTTCTATTACTTTGGCCAATGGGTCTTCGGTCTAATCTTGTGGGATCAACACTGTTCTTTTTTCCCTACTTTATCTCTGGATCTTGTTCTTTATATTCCTGATTCCCCTTTTAATTTACTTTCCATTAGTCATTTGACCAAATCCTTTTATTGTATGGTTTCTTTTACGAAAACTTATGTCATTTTATAGGACAGGAGTTCGGGGAAGGTGATTGCCAGAGGATGTGAGTAGGGGTATAAATGAGCTGAGTCGAGTCAACCTTTAGCTTAAACGTGCCAAGCCTAAGAAAAATATTTTGAGCTTGGCCTTGCTCATTAGCTTGGTACGAGCTAAATTCTAGGCTTGACTTGGCTTGTTTATAAAAATTAAAGGCTTGGCTTTGCTCATTTATAATTATAAAATATATTTTTTTTCCAAACTCACATATGTCCAAATGTTGAGACTATAAAAGCATCAAATTTTGTATTCCTTCGTCAGAGAAAAAAATCATAGAACCCTGTAACATCCCTCATAATTAGGGACTTCTATAAATTATAATTAAGAAGGTGTAGCAAACTTGAAATTCGAATAAAACATAGGTTTAGAGTGGAATTTATTTAAGCCAGGAAATTTATTTGATTTGCATGTACGCGTGAGTGGATATATACATATATACTTTGAGAAATCAAGGCTCTAGTTAAAAGAATAGGATTAATTTAATATAGCCTATGAAAATTCTAGATAATGCTTAGAAGGACTATGAAATGATAATCAATAAATGTCAGTGAGCAATGCTCATTAAGAGATGATAGTGGGACCCTTTAGTAACCTCTAACCTATCTTAAAGAAAATCTTGATTACTTGTGTAAGTATCCAAAGAAAAATCAAATCAGCCCTTGTACCATCCTATACGCCTAGTAGAGGGCTGGGAAATCAGCATGTATCTGTTTGATTAGATGAAAATAATCACCTTGCATGTAATTCCATTGGTCAATGGCAAGTAATCTTATTGATCTA